CTCCTTCTCCTTCTTCTCCTTCTCTTTGACGGGGCCCAGCAAGCAAGCAACGTATGAATAAGTAAAAAAGAAGGAAAAGGAAAAAGAAAGGAAAAAAGAAAGACAATGGAAGCAAACTAAACTTCCATGCACTCACCATCGGCTGGCTCCCAGTTGCTGTCGAATCCCCTCGAGCCCGATTAAATATTTATTTTTTTCCTATTGGTGTGGAAGATGTGCCATTGGGTACTTCTCCCACCTCTTTTTTTGATAATTTTGATGGATGGCCTGTGTGCCCCTCTTTCTCCCTGCTTTGCTTCACTCGTAGTTTTGCCAATTCGTCAGGAAATTTCGGGTCCCTGGTCTGTGCTGATAGGTATTATCAAGGCTATCCGCTTCCCCATTCCCCCCTCCCTCCCTTTCTCTCGCATTCCCTCTTTTTTTCCCCTATCCCCCTATCCCCCCCTCATCTCCATCTAATCTAAAATAAGCACATGGTGCCTTCTACCTTGGATTTTGGGAGTGTGCTTGGTTCGGATACCCGAACCGCGATCCTTTAGAAGGTTGTTCTGTCATCTCTCTCTCTACCACCCAACTAAAAAGAAAGAGGAAAGGAAAGGAGAAGGAAAAACCGCTTGTTCCGTTTCCTAGAATATTCTAAAACGTCATCTCTTTCACTTCTCGCCATAGAGAAGCCCATTATTCTCCACATTTACAGGACAAAAAAGAAGTGAAAGAAAGGAGAACAACTCGTGGAATAACAAGAATAGAAGGACCCCAGAGTAAGAAGAACTGGAGTTAGTTCATTTCTAGACAAAGGCTAATACGGCTTATGCGTGCACTCACCGACATGGTGACCCCAGTGCTCCGTCTATCCTGTTGAAGAAAAATAAAATAAGAAAGAAAATCTCTTTCACTATCGACATATCTTTCACTTGCTTTTCCTCGCCTTCACTCTCGCTAATCGGGGCGGAGAAGATCTCGTGGGGTCTGATCCAAGTTCGGTCGGCTTTGTGGGGTGTCGTTGACTTTGCTTTACATACATCCTCCACCTCGAAAGTGAAGGTATAAAGGTGCACAGACACACGCTCAGCATAAGAACTTTAGATCACCAACAGAAAGTGGAGAGGCGAAGAAGCCAAGGGACATTCTAGTAGTCAAGGAGAGGAAGAATAGCAGAGGACCAGTGCAGCAATCATCTCGATAACGATTTATTTCACGGTTTTCTCTTTCCTCCCCTCCCCTCCCGGGAAACAGTTCACCAAAACGAACCCTTCCCTCCTTCCCTCCCTCCCATCTCCCTCCCTCCCTTCCTCCCTTTCCTCATCTCACTAGATAAATCGGCAACAAAAAAATAAATAAAAAATAACAAAAACCGGTCGAGCCAATAAATAAATAGCTGCATACAATCCGCTTTTTGGAAACATCTCGAATCGCCCCGAAACTTACCATCGGTATATTGAGTTAATCTTTTGCTTTTCAAACCCTTTTCCCATTTTTGTTCCATCGATTGCTAAGTTAGGGGGGGAGTAATAGTGGCTACAAAAACCCCTTTCCCTGCCCGTTTATCCCCTCGCTTTGGAGAGGGGAAGTGATCTCTCACACGAGAACTTGCTACCTGTCGACCACATACGCAACTTACTACTCGAGTATCACATATCGTCACTCGGTCCGAGAAGCAACGACGACCTCGGAGTTTTCCCATATCCAAAAAAAGAAAGAAGGAAGAGTAAAAAGCAAGGAGGATAGACCGGTTCCCCAAAAGGCATGTCTCGGGCACCCTTACCTACTGAAAAAACCAAAAAGCTTTTGAAAGCTCACGTACAACCACTTGTCATAAAGGTTGAGCCGGACACCGAACCACCAACTTCTCTATTTTTTCCTCCTCCCCCTCCTCCACCGCCACCGCCACCGTCGCTACAATTGCAGTCGCAGTCGGGGCCCCAGCTAACAAGGTTCTCTCCTCCCGCGTTTCGTCGCGAGGCAAGGTCGGGCCGGATGACGCCCAAGGAACGTGTGGTCAGCAAGGGTCCGCTGAAAGAGAAAGTCAATTACCCACCCCATGAACAACAGCAGTCGGAGTATAACCGCCAGAAGCTCCTGGAAATGGAGTTGTACCCTTCCGATGGAGTCGGGAGTTATCCGAGGAGTATACCATTCAAGGGGAGTAAAGAAGATTTTCTTCGAAAAACTGGGAGGAATCGGTTTGACGGTGAGAGGGAACCCCTCTTCGCCCTCCTATACCCTATAAAAGAAATTGAAAAGAAAGCGCGGGGGGGTAAGGAAATATTTAGCGTTCAAGGGCTAATTCCTATTGGCAGTGTTCGAATACAGATTCACAGCGCCGAACGTGAAGGGTGAGAAAAAATGGTGGTGGGTGATGTGGGATTATTATAACGGCCTCGTCAGGGTGCACGATTTCTTCGACTGTTGCAAACCCGGGAAGGTTGGTGGGAAAAAAAAACTTGGATTTATTTAGCTTTTGCGAGAGAGAAGATCTTGGTAAAGGAAAACGAATTAACTAACATATGAACTAACTTTTACAGACCGAACCTGGAAATGCCGTTAGGGAAAAGGTTAATCCAGGACTTGCGTCCGTGTGCCATAACATTACGGGTGGTAACCTTCACGCACAAGGTAGGCAGACAGATACTGGCACACTTATGAATCCCTTACGATTTCAAACTAATAAGTCCCATTACCGGAGGGAGGGGTACAACCCAGGCTACTGGATACCGTACGAGGCAGCCAAAGCCCTCGCGGCAAAGTTCTGCTACAGGATCCGCTATGCCCTGACCATTATATTCGGGGATTCTTTCCCGGATCAATGCCTTCCAGAACACCACCCGGAGTTCGGCAAATACCAGATAGATGCCAAAATAATAAGTGCCTGCTGTGAGAAATCCGCTGCTCAACTCTGCACCGAGCAAAGACGTTTGCACACCGCCATACACCATCGCCAGCATCAGAATCAGCGTCAGCAACAAGCACTGTCAGTCACACCTAACGCCGCTGCCGTAAATCCAGGGACACCTTTATTGAGCTTCTCATCTACCATTTCTCCGTCTTCCTCCTCCTCCCCCTCCTCCTCTTCAACGGCAGCAGTAGTAGAACCAAGATACCCCACCACTCGAAGACCAAAAAGCCTCTCTCCACCACCACCTCACTCCTCCTACTCCTCTTCAAGAAGCCAAATATACGCCCAATACCGACTCCGAACACACACCCGCACCCCGCCTCCTCCCCCGCCTCCACCACCACCTCCAGAATTATCATCATCACCATCTTCTGCAAAAAGGTATTTCGACCCCGTGAGAGAAATTTGGACGGACGGGAATAGCCCGCAAAGGGGGAGGAGGCTTGATGGGGGGAATGGCAGGGTTCCAGACGGAGGACCACAGTTACTACTACCAAGCCAAGATGCTGAGCAAGACAGGGATACTAGAGCTTCAACGAACACCCTCTACACAATGAGCAACAAGAGTGTAGCGAACAAGCAGAACCCACAACAAGAAGCAGAAAAGGAGAAATACCTCCCACCAATAACTCCACTCCTCCATCTCCCGCATCCGCACCCTGAGGCAAACGCAAATTCTTACTACCGGCCTAGACCACAAGAGCCAGAACCAACCCCCAAGCGCGCAAAACATACCCGGGTTTCCGCCCCCCCTAGGTTCGTTCGGGGAACCTTCTGGGGGGGGCAGCGGGTCTGTCGGAGTGATTCCTTTTCACTATCACCGCCTTCCTCCTCCACCGTTTCCGCCGGAAGAAGGGGGGGGGGGGGAGCTAAGGCGGAGACACAAGAAGAACACGTGCTAGCAGTGGAAGCGGCAGGGAATTTGATGAAGTTGAGGTTGGATGAGTTTAATTTGAACAATGCCGGTGGTGCAGAGGCAGGAGGGAGGAAGAGGAGGCAGTCGCGGTGATTTTTTGGCTTCCTTTTTTGCTTGGATCAGGTCGTTCCTGTTGGGGTTATGATTTCTCCCCCACTCACTTCTTTCCTTGATTTAATTGTTTGCATTTCGCTCATCACGGCATGGACTGGATTTGAATAGATTTGATATCATACTGTACTGGGTAATTACCTGGCAGGAGTTTTTCAGTTTTTCAGTTTTGTTACCCCTTCGTGCTCTTTCATATATTATTTTTTTACTTTTTTTGGGGGGGGGGTTGGCTGGTTAGCATAGCTAGTTTCATGGAACTCACGATATGACGTTACTCAGAGAGATACTGGAGTATTATGGCCATCATAGGATTAAGGTGGTACAAAATTCTGAATCCAGTAACTGAGCACAAATTCGTGATTGCTCCAGACTGTGGCAACGGACGGTCTTGGCAACAACAGAAACCGACCCCCCCCCCCACGTTTTTCATAAAAGATGCTCATTTTCAACAGGCAGCTACCGGTACTCACCAGCATAGCCTCAGAAAAATTCAGTGATTTTTAAGATAGCACAATTTGATATCAAGATTCACATAAATGAAGGCCATGTTATATAGGAAATGATTCTAAAAATTCTAACCATTAACACTACCAAGACGACCAATTTGTATGGAATTTCTGCATGACAACGATTCTGTCTAATTTCGTTTGCTTGCTTCCGTGTTCAGTAGAATATGACAAATCCCCCCCGACTCTCTCTCTTCCAATCTGATTACTGTTTGAAGGATAAAAATTTGTTGTGTATGATATCATTGTGCTGGTTGGCTGAACTTGCGTATTTTGTATGGAAACCCGAGCGGAGGTTAGATTCTTTTGTCACAAAGCGCGGACTTCCGGTGCCCTTGACCGGTTTTTATCGCGCTATCCCCGTGGGAATGCAGCGCTCAGAGAGTTAGCTGACAAATATCATATTATGGAGTTGTCATCCACAGGTACGATAACTAATACGACAACTGTTTGGCTCCCACGCATATACGAAGGTTAGGGGGAAGTCCAAAGCCTTGCCCGAGGCAACGACAGAGAAAAGCGAGGAATAGGCAATGGCATAGACTCCCTTGCCGTGAAGTGCCGTACTCGAGCGTTGTACTGTACATAATAATATTATTGTACTTAACATCAGAACGGTAGTACTGTACAATAGCACCCACTAAATATATATAGCCTACACCTTTCCACCTCCTTTCCTCCTTCGTTACCTTTCCTCACTTCACCACCCCACACCAAGATTACAAAAAAAAAGATAAAAATGTCCATCACGCTCTACACAAGCCGTATCTGCCCCTGGGCTCACCGTGCACACATAGCATTGGCAGAGCTCGGGCTAGACTTCAAAGAGGTCACGATTGATCTGATGAAGCCGAGGGAGCCATGGTACCTTGAGATCAACCCCGTTCGTCCTCTCCTCCCCCTCCCTCATACTCCCCTGCCATCGCAGGCTAACAGCGAATGAACGACAGAGGGGGCTAGTCCCGTCGCTCAAATACAATGACGAAATAATCACCGAATCCTCTATTGTCGCTACTTTCCTCGCGGAATTGAAAGAGAACCACTTAGTCCCCTTCCCGGGCACTCCGGAGGGTACCCACCCCCCCCTCTCCTCCCCTACTCGTGGAGCGTTCATCCACCCGTCGTTGAAATGCTAAGGGGAATATCACAGCTGCTCTAAAGCGGGCCAAAATCAACTTCTTCGTGGACACCTACTTTACCAAAGCTCAACCGCTAATCCAATCCGCCCTCGTCACAACCGACATGGCGGCAAAGGCCCGGTACGCAAACGAGTGCGTCGACGTTATCGAGAAGCAATTGGCGCCGTTGCTGGCGGACGCTAAGCCCTTCTTTGGCGGGAGCTCCAGGCTCACGCTTGCGGAGGTGCTTACTGCTTCGTTCGTCGTTAGATTGTATACATACGCGAAGCCTGGGGTTGACTTTTTCCCCCAGGAGGCGATAGAGATGATCAGGAAGATTGGGAATTGGCAAAAGTGGGCGGACGCCTTGCTCGCTCATGAGAGTGTTATGGCGATTTATGTGGAGGAGGACGTGGTTCGCGCCCTTAAGATAAAGTTGGCACAAATGGCGGCGGCGGCGGCGCAGAAGTAAAGGATGGACTATGTGATTTTGGAGGTATTGGGAATAGAATCTAACTTAGGACAGAAATTGAAAATTTCAGTTGACATAAGTGAGGATTTGTGAAGGGGGGCGGCATCCATTGAGGGGGATGGTGTATTCCCGGACGTAGAGTGCCGAAAGAACACAACATATACTCGGTGGGGTCATTAAAAGTCGGAAACCAGAGGGCGGAAATGTAGGGCTTATCTGACAGGACGATCATGCTGAAAAATATGATACAATGCTTCAGAAGTCAAAGACCCAGACCAGTTGCTTCAAGGTTACACATAATTGAACGAACGACCGGCACACCACACCAATGAGCTCGTACAAAATTGTACTATGATATTTCCGATTCCTGTTCACACCTTCTACGGTGCCTGCGCCAGAGCCGGGGCTGGACACCCCCATACTCGCAATGCCGTGACGTTCGCAAAACGGATTAAACTACTCGTAAGTATCATATACCATACGAGAAATTCTATTGGTGACAACCAAAGCTCAGAGCTTCAGGATTTTTGAGGGTAAGTTAGAAGTGCAATGCGAACGTCACCACCACCACCACCACCACCCATCAGAAGCAACACAATTAATAATCACATACGAGACTGGAAAAAAAACAACTTTTACACAGTTCGTTTTCAATACCGACTCCAGCCGCTGGTGTTAGTCTAATTACTTCCTTCACGAAGTATCTTGGTCAAGCACTGCGTGGGGGGGGGGGGGGGTTGGAGAACCTTGTCGAGTCTTCGGCAGTTGCCACTTAAATTAACCCATTTTCTCCGATAATAACATTACCCGTTTTGGCATGTCCAAGAAATCCACCTCATTCGTCTTCTTATCATTTCATACCCACTCCGCGCGAGCCACGGCGCGAAACGTGGCAATCCTCCCCCAGCGGAAAAGCTACGAGTAGTAATAACAACCAACCATGCTTGGTTCTGGCGCATTATGGAAAAACCTAATAGTCTAAACTTTCAATCGCCCTGCGGATACTTTCAACTTTGCAATAACAATTGCCTTTTCCCGACCTTTTTTTTTTCTTCTTTTTCTTTTTCTTTCGGAAACAGGATCTTTATTTCCGCCCATCTTCTTCTAGTCGGTGCTCTAGCGTGCTCGAGTAGAAAGCCTTCAAAGTTCTGTACTCGTAGACTAGACTATGATACTATGGGATGGAGGAGGGTGAGACAGGAAATGAAAGGAAGAGAGATGGTAAGTTATGGTGGGAAAATGGAGGTTTTTTTTTTGGGGGGGGGGAGGGGGGATAATAGGTTGAGAATGTCCTGATTAGACAATGATATATTTTTCTTACAATATTATGATAATATTATTACAAAGATTTGGTTGTCAGTGATGCGCTGCACCAGCTTAGATAGAGCAATGCTGCTTGCTCAACGGGATGGAGGAGAACTATACTAGATATTGTAATTGTATGTATGGTCGATTACAGGAGTATGAGATGGCAATAAAGGTTGTGGGTTGGGTGTAGGTTCTCTATGAGGTGATCCGGTGAGGTATCATACTGCGATACAAATGTTGGACTAAAGCAGTAATGTTTTACCCTCTCTATTCTTGACAATAAATCACGTCCCCGCAAGATGTACTGTACAGTACATAATGAAATGCATCAGGGCAGGAATATGAGCAAAAAAAAAAAAAAAAAAAAAGATTTGAAGAGCTTCGTCCCAAGACACTTTTGCGCTTGCGAGAGGTCGTCGAAAACCCAAATACTCTTATCATGCATAATTTATAAGTCTGAGCGTCAGCATAAGAGGTCTGCGACTGCTACGGTATGATATTTGTAGTCTACTATGATATCGTATTAGGACTAGTGTTGTTGGTCCCGTGTGGGGGAGGTTCAAGGTAATACAAGTAGGTCAACCTTCGCATCAAGTCCTCCAAACTTTTCGACAAACACTACACAGAGCAGATCTCACTCTAGAGAAGCGGTCCTTGCTGTCCTAGCTCTTAAAGTTGGGACGAAACTTGGGGTGGTCGGCACTTGTATGGAAAAAAAAACTATTTTTGGCTGTGATAATACGTCAATATACTGCCCGGAGCAGTAAGCTCACCTCGTACACCAAATCCGGAGGGCATTGAGGGGTCGATTCTAGAGCGCAGGCGCCACGCTATCATACTTGTATGCAGCGGCCTAATCTCATCTCTCTCTGCCCGCTTATTCTGTTGTATTCTATCATACTTTCCAGTTTATGTGGGGGCGCGGCAATCTTGCAAAACCACCTGCCGTATTCACCCGGACAAATCCACTATCGATAAGCAACAGAGATAGAGTGCGGGTTAGCTGACGCACGAGGCGTTTTGTCTCTAGCGGTGAATAATAGAAGCCCGACGGAGGCACTGGATTTGTCGGAGCAAACGCGGTTGCGATACCTCAGGTTGCCGCGCAAACACCGCGCCTCGCGCCTAATCGGTAGTTGATAGTGTCAGACGAGTGAGATATTATGATGCGGGGCAGCCCAATGGTAACTGCCGTGACTGAAACCTCCTACACGTGGCTGCAGGCACTCACCCCAATCAGAAATCGGCTGCAGGGAATAGTAATCTTGGCCTGGTCTACCGGTACTGTGTCGCCGATTTTAGTTTTCCAATAAGAACCCCTAGCCTCCAGTCCCCCTCGTTCCCTCTGATCCCCAAAGACAGCAGCATCCCCATATTCATAATCCGACTTTTTTCCATTCCTACCAACTTGACAATTTCCCGTCAAACAGCAAACATGCCATTCCTACACCTACCAAACGAACTCATCCTCCAGATCGCGGGAGAACTTGCACCACCCGATCTAAACGCCCTTTTGAAAGCGAACTGGCGTCTCGCAATCCTCCTCTCTCCCAGTCTCCTGGACAGCGTGTGTCGCAAGCATCACAAATTTTACGGAAAGAGGGCGCTCTACTTCGCAGCGGAGCGCGAAGATAAGGCCACCGTGAGCAGACTCATCGATAGAGGACTCCTCGACGTCGTGGGGAAGGGCGCGCTCCTCAACAAAGCGGTATTGGACCAGAGCGAAAAGGTCATCGGTACCCTCCTGGCTTGCGGCGTCGGTGCAGACACCAAGAACCCCAAAGGCCGAACGCCATTGGCACTGGCAGCGAGATACGGCCGCGCTGAGATAGTGCGCTTACTGCTGCGCGAGCCAGCCATCGACGTGAACTCTGCGGACAAGACGAATTCGACACCGCTATTACTCGCCGCCACTAGAGGCCACGAAGAAGTGGTCCGCCTCTTGTTAAACGACAAGAGAGTCGAAGTAGACGCCCAGGATAAGCGCAACGGCACACCCCTTCACAGGGCAATCTTCTGGGGGCAGGAAGCTGTGGTCCGGCTCCTGATAGAGGACCAAAGGTCGGACATAAACCTTCAAAATATCGGAAACCCAACTCCACTCCACTCCGCTGCCTTCTGGGGCTATAGCCCTGTTGTCAGGCAGCTCTTGGCGGACCCACGAATAAACGTGAATCCGACAAACTACGACGACTGGACACCACTGCACACGGCAGCAGACCAGACTTACGAATGCGTCGTGCGAGCATTGTTAGAAGACGCCAGGGTGGCAATCAACTACAACAGCTCCAGCAGTGGCACTCCGTTGCACGTTGCAGCAGTGAGGGGTTCCGCGGCAGTAGTCGAACTTCTTCTGGGCGACCCGAGGGTGCAGGTCAACCTGCGCGACGGCAATGGCAATACCGCACTGCACCTCGCAGGCAGTCAGGAGCACGAACAAATCGTGTCGCTGCTGCTCGCGCACAAGGACATCGACGTGAATATTCCAAACAACGGCGGATGCTCAGTCAGGAACCTGGCGGATATCCCCTCCCACTATCCCTCTAACATTCAGAAGTGGGTTCTGGCTCATGATGCCAAAGGGAGAGTGAATGTGGGATGTCTCGGAAAGATGTATTGATAGGGGGTGTATCGGATCTCTCTTTTTTTCTTTCTGTTTTTTTTTTTGCAGCTGTGCCTTTTTGTGAATATGATAGAGCGGAGCAAGGTGTGCGAAAAAAGTTAGCGAGTGGTTTCACTTTTTTCTTTTTCTTTTTCTTTTTGTCGAGAGTTTATTCATTCCAAAACGATTGGATAGTTAGAGCGGGGGTTTACAGTACAATTCCATGATAAACGTTTCTCCTCCACGGACCCCAAAGTGTGCCACAGTACAATACCCAGCGTCTGAAATCGGCCCACTCCCATAATCAAGGATCAAGTTGCGGGCTTAACTTACCCCAGCAACGACCAACCGTTCCGAGAGGGAGAAGAAGAAAAAATCTCTACGAGTATCTGCTCAGAATTGAGTTCCCCCGTTTGATTCAGTGAATACTCGTACACACAAATATAGTCTACACACTTATCATTATTCTAAGCACTACGGTAGCCAGCCAGGTCACCAAGAGGGCTACAATTTTCCACCAACTTATCCGGCACTATGCCAGATTAGCCACCGGCGAAGTTCCACCAGCCAAATCAAACGCGGGAGAGACCCAATGAACAGATCGGAAACAGGGGAGAGAAAAACCGAACGATAAGTTATGATACCGGTACATGTCTCGGCAGGCAACACAAAAGAGGCAGGATTTCAGGTCTGAGGGCCCCGTAAAAGGAGTTCTTCTAGAAGGAGAAAAAAAAGGTGCCCCGTCCCGCCCTGGAGAAGTGTGGAAACACACACCATGATGACGACAGGGAACTTCAAGGGTAATCCTGGTTTCAAAAATGCTGACGGTGACTCTGAAGAAGAAAAAAAAATGGGGAAAGGAGGTCCGGGAATTGCTCGCTCACGCGCGGTAATCGAGCGGGGGTTCTAGTAAATATCTGTGGATCGCGCTTAATATAAATTTATAGTCGGCACCTGCTTACCGTGTTATCCGCTTGTATGCTTGGCACGTCTGTCTCTTGCCGACCTTAAATTATCCTTTTGTCTCCTGTGTGGGTATTGGCGGAATTGTCGGGCTTTTGGACTTCATAACTACCCGATCACCTACTTGCGCACCCGAGTACGACTCTAGCTACCAGCCACTCCGGTTGTGTGCATGCCGGTGTCGTGGTGCCCAGAGGCTTAATTATTCTTTATTGTTTGCAGTTCTTCTCTCTCTTCGATATCAATTAAGCCACTTTGTTTTCGTCACTCTCACTCATAACCATGCGTGACAGGTGAGTGTGATAGTATGTGACGTCGGGCGGTGGGGGACTGCGCGGAATCCCTACCTTACTCTCAACACTATCAAGACCGCATACCCGATTGAACACACTTTATGGTCTATCACAGAGTTTTTTGTTCATGGAGAACAAATCAGAACCCAATCCAACTGCCATCCTAGTATAACCAATTCGAGCACTTCCATTACCCCCCTACAGTATCATACCCCCGAGTGCAGGAGTCAATCTCCCCGCCCCAAATTCCGCCATCCCGCAAACACCCCACTTCTATCCCTCCAACCCCAAGCCACACAGTAATGCGCAGCAAGCATATCCCACTCCTCAACCTCGTCCAACATTTCCAACCCTGCGATCCTCCCCCTCTCCCTTGGGCTAACCCACCCATCGTGTATTCCTTTAACACTGACGGCAAGCTGCCCATCCACGAATCCCAGGACCCTTAATCGCTCAATCTGCCGCTCGAGACTAGAGTATTTCTTCAGCGTCTTTAGGACGATCCCCCTCACCGCCAGATTCTGTATCATCACGCGACCAAAGGCGTCATCCCCGCCGATCGGCTCGTACAATATTATACCGACCGAGGAGGAAAAGTCTGTAGTTATCCATTTAAGAATATCGTCCGCTTCTGTCGGGGATAGATAGATGAGACAGCATTCTGAGATGAAGAGTGTTGGGAGGGCGGTGTTTATGGAAGCGGAGAAATCTGCGGAGGGGTGGAGGGTCCGGATGTCGAGGGGGTGGATGGAGTAATTTTTTGACGTGAGGCTTCCGTTTATCTGGTCTACTGAGAGGCCCTGTGGCGACAGGAGAGATTGGAGTGCCGGGGAAGCAGTTATCGAAGCAATCTTCCGACTGGTGATGGCTCGGAAGTCTAGTTCTCGATAGATGAGGTTTGGTATTACGCCCGGATTCGCAGAAGCTATGCGGAAAAACCTGGTATCTGAACCGGCGCCCAGAGAGATAATCTGTTTTGGTGTCTCTGGGGAAGAGGATAGGAAATTGTTGACGAGCTTGTCAATTGCGGTTGTGCGAATGTATGTCCCTAGAGTAAACGGTTCAATTAGAATTGGATGACGGGAAAGCTGTGATCCATGCCTCGAACCTCTATTTATTAATGGGTACCGCCTCTGGACCTCCCCAGCAACAAACAGCTTCGCGAATGGGTCCTCAAGATATCCTGCTTCGATAGCACTCAGCCTCAACTGAGAGGCGTCTTTGTCCGTCTGCTGCACTACCCGATCCTTCTCTTCCGCAGAGCTTCCGCCGTCCCGCTTCGGAAACCTTACTGGATTCATTGCTGCCTTATATCTATTTCCTGTGATCTGAGGGGATAGGTATCGTGGGGGGTTTGAGTGTTTCGCCTCGGGGTCCTGGCGGGGCAGTGGGGTGATGGATGGCGGGTAAGGATTTGGGGCCAAAAGCGTTAGCCAGATCTTGGCAAGCGCCTCATTCGCCCGTGAAGAGGTGATGCTAGGATCCTTTTCACTCGGCAGTCTGGTCACGGCACTCCATTACTCGAGTGTCATACAGTACTGGTGCTCAGGAGTTCAGTGCAGGTGCTCGGAAAGCTTTCTATCTTTCTCTCCTAGCATCCTCTCCCTGGGCAAAGCTTGTGCTTCTAACTTGTGAGCTCCCCTGAGTGCGGGAGGGGGATACATCAAACATCCAGGGGATTGAAGGTATCTCAGTGTCCAAAGGAAATTAGCTAACCTACCGGATACTTACCCCAGTGAGGGTGAAAAACCGGACACCTGAGGATGATGCAAACAAAAGGAACCAAGAGACCTCCCAAAAAGCCTTGAAAATTTGAGAAACCAGTTCTTGAGCAACCAAGGCACCTCAAGCCAACCATTAGCCCTCGGATTTTTGATAAATTTTCTCGTTTCGTTGGTATCTCAGGCCTTCCCAGCGTTTCGGGAGTGTCCTGGTTATTGTTACCTACCTGTTACCACTGGGGGAGTAAATGCTGGAGAGAGCAGGACACTAGCTATTGTACCGTACTCGAGTATTATGCTGTTCGCCACCATTACGATAGAAACCCGTCTCAGGTTCGCACTGAGGCTTCACGCATACACTGTAACTCGCCTGAAGGGAAGGCTGGCGAGGAGTTTTACTACAGCAAAAACCTCCTATCAAATACTCGTACAGTACATTCTCGCGCTCTTGTATGGACCCAAGCCATAAATTTACCCCAGCACACCCAACAAGCATAACCAGCCAACCACGTGACCAACCCTAAACAATGCAAGCTCCTCTAGCGAACTCTAACCCAACCACACCGCACCGCCCCCCAAATCCCATCATTAGTATCATAGCTGCAATACGAACCAGCTACCGCACTACACGCAACCTCCTCAATCCCCCCAGCAATGGTCCTCTCCTTCATCCTAATCCAAAACCGCCAGTTAGCTCCCCTTCGTCCCCTCCTCTCCTCTCCCGAAGCTGCGCTAACCTCACCACTCTCCCCCACTCTAGGGGAAAAACCCGCCTAGCAAAGTGGTACGCCCCATACGATGTATGCCCTGCATACCCCCCCCCCCCGGGCCACTCCGCGCCCCTAACTTGCTAACGTGCACAGGACGAAGAAAAGGTCAAACTGAAAGGCGAAGTCCACCGCCTCGTCGCCCCCCGCGACCAAAAGAATCAAAGCAACTTCGTGGAGTTCCGCAATAATAAGATCGTTTACCGCCGCTACGCTGGCCTCTTCTTCTGCGTGTGCGTCGACGCGAACGATAACGAGCTCGCGTATCTGGAGGCCATACATTTCTTCGTGGAGGTGCTTGATGCGTTTTTTGGGAACGTGTGCGAGTTGGATCTTGTTTTTAACTTTTATAAGGTCTATGCGATACTTGATGAAGTCTTTCTGGCGGGTGAGATTGAGGAGACATCGAAACAGGTTGTGCTTACGAGGTTGGAGCACCTGGATAAGTTGGAGTAGGGAGGTGGGTGGTGGGGATCTGTGTGGGGATTGGGGACGGATAGTGGGAGGTAAAATGTAATCTTTTCGGGCGATTCTTGTGCCTTTCTTTCTTTCTTTCTCATTCTTATCAGGGTAATAGATGGATAGGTGGGCGGGATACCACGAGAGTAATAGATATAGGTGCTATGGGTATCCTATAAAGGACCATACTCGATTGTCGTATCCACTACGGCATTTCTCACCGAGATACAAGCTCTGCCATCTAATAAGCTAGATCCTACACTTCCGCACTCACCAACGCCCTACGGGTGCGTGAGGCGGGTCATACAAAGTTCTATTAGACAATCTTCTCCCCTGTACTTTTCCTGTAACCCATCCATGCATTACAACCATAGCCCAATGCCCATGCAACCATACATTTTAAATGCCAAAAACCAAGTATCCGAGATCGAAAAGAAAGGGAAAAGCGCCTGTATGGCCCCGATAAAAGAGCAGTTACCACCTATCCTCCTCCTCCACGGCCTCAACTGTCCTAGTCTTCTGCCTCCCCGTTTTCACCGCCACCCTTCGGGAATGAATCCTCTGCAGCGGATTCGGAATATCAATCTCTACAGACGCATCCTCCTCCTCTCCTCTTATCTTCGCTAACCTTCCAGCGAGGGAGCTAGCGATTGTCGAAGACTTCTTATCACCCTCTACACCCCTCCCGCCAGTACCCATTCTCTGCTGTCGCATCTTCTCGACGTACTCCCTGTACGTTGGTCTGTGCAGCAGCCCAGACCTAAACTCGTTCGATCCGACGAGCATTTTCAGGAGGTTGACCAGCTCCTCCACATATTCTATACATTCTTCTAAGGCAGCGGCAGAGGCGTTCCAGGAGAGGAACTTGAGCTTGAGTGCTCTACGCCGGGCCCCGGCGCTGGCGTCTAACCGCTCGTTCGGCTCTTCGCGTTCTTGCCGCTCGTCTTCTTCAAGCAGGATCTGACGGACACGGACTACCATGCGGAGATGTGCTAACCTTGCCGATGGTAGGAATTGTGGAAGAGGAAGCTTTGTCGTCAGTGCTTCGTGGCAGGCGAAGAGCATTAGAGTGATTGAAGCAGCGACGTTACGACGGTAGCCATATACTAAAGAGTTATATTGTTCTAGCACGGCGGAGCCGTAGGCTTTGCGCATTTGGAGCATATTCTCCATTTTATCGACGATTTGGCGGAGGACGAATATAATTTCTTTGTACACCACCTCCTGGGTATCAAAAGAACCTTTTAGTCTTGGCTCTTGCTTTGTGAAACCCAGGAAGGTTTCTGCGCTGGTAAGAGCTGCCTCGGCTTTCTTTGCTGATCGCTCGAACTTTCGGAATAGCCTCGGTGTACTGATGATATTTCTGGTATCATCCACTCCGTATGCTATGCATGTTTCCATTTTGGTAATCTGCACGATTGCTGAAGCGAGTGACTCTTTCAGTCTCACTCGGGCTTTGGCAGGTAGGACGATCATTTGTACCAAAGTTGCAGCAACGCCGCCTTTGAAGATGTTAGTAAATTAGTCGGAAGGGCGAGATAGATATCACCTATAAGCATAGTAACAGAACGCTTCGTAAAGTTCTCTTGTGACGATCCGGGAACAGTTTGTAAATGCGTAGAGAGCGCCACAACACACATTGAAATGGTGCAGATCATGCCCGCTTTCATGTACCTGGTTCCAAGCTGGACGTAATAGCTGGGGATCATTCCTACCAAGATCATGGCTGCGATCACATATTCGTTCCCGTTACGTGCCTCGTATGCGGCGTAACCCCATACAGACCCTATCAAGGTGCCCACAGCACGGAGGGCAAAGATCCAGATTGTAGGTCCAACAGCGTTCTCGAAAACAAGGATAAATATTAAGCCGACCCATACTACAATAGCTGTCAGTGCCATCAAAGATCGGAAGCGGAAACAAGGCTCTTACATCCTCGATTGTAGTAAAACCACATCTGCCAGCCGCTGACGAAGGCCGGCCAAGTCACCAGCATAACACCTAATGTTAGTTTAAAAGCATAGAGCACATCGTCTGAATCGCCAGCCCATTCAAGAAAGTCGGCTACGCGCTCTCTCACTGTCTTCTCCCGCCCCTGATCCTTCCTCTCCCTTACCGTTTCTCTGGATGTCATTTCGTCCTCATCCGGGTCTCCGCCTTCCTTGAGATAAGCATCCCTCTTGGCAGCCGGAAGACTCTCGGGCTCTTCGGCTCCGCTGAAAAGCCATTTCCGTAGCTTAATCTTCGGAAACCAGATACTTCGTGTTTCTTTACGGTCTTTATGGAGCTCGACTAGTTTTCGGGAATGTTTTAACATACCCAGCGTGTGTGAACTAGTAATAACAACATAAGAATTAGATTCCCGGTGGGAGAAATGTCCCGAAATCGATGTACTCACGCAGCCTGACGCAAATTCAGCATAAAGCTGCTAATTAGGAAAATCTCATCCCGAGGCATCACATCAATCTCCCCATCAATCATCTCTACATTGTCAGTTTCCTTAAGTGCTGCGCCTTCGAGGGCTTCAGTAGATCTTCTGCCAAATTCCTCGATTTCATTTTCAAGCCAATCAATATGCACATCGAGTTCCTGGACCAGAATTCCTTTCGGACGACGAGGCGTTCCTTCACCCTGTTTCAGGGACGGAAGCGTTGGCACGTCCTAAACTTGTTAGCCTATCAAAGTGGTGAGCCGAAAAGGGAGCCAGTACAAATGTACATGCAACACAAGTATTGATAATATCTACGCATCTGTCAATGGTGGCTTGCAGGCCACTCAGTGGCTCCTCAACCCTAGAGGTCGTAAAGGTGTCACGTTAGTACTAGTCATCATCGCTCACTCGGCGGGCTTCTTTACACACCGTTCAAGCAGGTATCGCAAGAGCTGTTGATCACCAGATTCAATTTCTTTTCTCGGTCTCACTTGGTCAATGTTAGCGCCCTCCACTGAGCGCATCTTTCCGCTGTGTTTATTCTCCGCTGCTTGGTTATGTGTTACGCCTCCATCGCCAAGTAATGCATATTTGCTCTCACAGGCCCCAACAAGACTAAGAGTGTTGGCGACCAGCTTCTTAACGCCCTTGCTCGCTATAGGCTTCAATTCCCATGGGGCAAGGACTGAAAATGCAAGCTCAAATGAGCATTCAGTTAGGGCGCCTTTACACTCGGCTACTTTCTTGCGAAGCTCGGCTTTCGCCTCTGTTAGATCACTTAAGGAGGGTTTCTTCCCCGCTGAGTTTCCATTGATATCTGAAGTTTGACGATTCCTGTAAGTTAGGAATAACTGGCTAGCATCTTTCTGAACTTTCAAGGTCTTCTGAAGGGCTTCAATTGTTGTCAAGCCCAAGTATGTGCTTCCAAACTCGGGGAATATCGCCACATTTACCAGCAGCACAATTGCCGAAGCTGTTAATATCGGAAAAAAGAATTGTCTAGGGAAAACAGTGCTCATTTCGTATATCGGAGAAGTCTATTCCTCCCAATGTCAGATGGTAAGCTAGAAAATCTTGACAGGTTTTCAGCAAAGGAGGAGCCATACCAATCCGATAACTACGGGTATAACCATAAGAAGAACTAATATAAAAAGCCTCGGCGTGGAGCTCCTAACGTAACCGTGCACAAAAAGTGATATTGTCAGGAAGGTTGCTCTTATCATCATCATTCCCCGTTCACTGTGAGGATGTACAAGTGATCCTAGGTATACCGCCAACGAGGCCCACACAATACCGATTGATGCGCCGAGTGATGCGAGTATTAATGCTAGAAAGCAAGCCAATCAGCAATGCACTCTCTTGGAGTAACTCGGTAGGCTGCCTACATTCCACCATCGATCCAAGTCGACGTCCGGGATGGCCTATATATAGTGAGAAAAGCTATGTCGTGGGCCAAGAGAGCTATATACCAAAACTATATTGTAAAAGAGATATTAGCTGAGCGCAAAGTAGAAAGGTCAGGCAGGAGTCAGGACACAAACACCGTTGTGATGGATGACAGATATGCCGCTGCGCTATATACATCTGCGCATCCATACAACATTTTAGCAAACACCATCCCACCCAGAACAAAAGTAACGCCATAAGTGCAAGCAAAGAGTAGAACGTGAAAAATCCAAGGGTTCGAATACGCAGGGGAGAGCAATTGCGGATCCTTACTGCGGATATTAGGAAGTAGTGAAATTATGACTGCGAAAGTTGAAGTTCTCAATTAGCAACACAAAAAGTCTGGAGATTTCTCAAACAACCCAATCCTTCGTAAGGGAACACAAACCTGTGAGAGTAGTCGCAAGAACACACTTGAATATCCTCGTTGGCAGTCTGTCTGTTGTTCCCAACGCTGATCAGTCCCGTCGACCCCTTTTCTAAACGTTTTAGGTTCCTGGGCGAACATACCTCTAGTCAGTTCCTCACGAACAGCAAGCCACCGCTTCCGGCAGGGACCTGATGCAGCCATAACTCAAACATAAAGCAATCGGAGCTTCGGTCGCGCGATGAGGTATGAAGTACAGAAGGGGAGGATCTGTCTAAAGATTGAGCAGGGCAAACCATAAGAAGGTAACCGGGCAAGAACAGCAGGGTGAAAAAAAAAAAAAAAGGGCAAAAGAGAAAAAAAGAACTCTCAGAGTTAGAGTACGGTAGTGTTTAAGGTATGATACAACGTCTGCCAAGATTTCGCTAGCAAGCCCAAAGTGGATGAAACATGCATACCGGTAACTCACGAGAGAAATGCGGTTGATAGGACTTGGCAGGAAGAAATTGGGGGAATTTTTCTCAGTTATGCCCTACTTAAGTATAAGTTAGGCTTGGAGCATCCCAAATTTTAGGTGACACCAATATCTGAACTCCATCGGAGATTATCTGAAAGCATTGTTGTCTTGGCGGCGGGGCGTCGTCATCTGGAGGGGAACTTTCTCATCGTTTTACAATAACTCCTATATTGACATCTACACTTCTCATCTGCTCATCTCATCTCTCTCCTTATTCGGCATATTCTCATCTTATCTCATTCTTCTCATCTCTATCCACCATGCCTCCTCCTTCGACACTTATTGTAAATTCTGCCCTATTTGACATGCTCTTTCACCATGGCTAACACCTCCGAAAAATAGTCGAAGCTTAAGGTAGCTCTTAAGCTCTCTGTATCTCGCCTACGAATGACCCAGCAGCGGGAGACCGCCCTAGCGAAGGTAAACCGTCGACAGATGGCCCAGCTCCTGGAACAAGGCAAGGAAGAATCTGCCCGGATTCGTGTGGAGAATATTATCCGACAGGACATCTCGGTGGAGCTCATGGAAATTTTGGAGCTGTATTGTGAGCTCCTGCTGGCCAGAATAGGGATGATGGAACCGAAGTATATTCCCTCATGCTTCATCCGCTCCGCGGGATCCTGTTGACGAGGGTTAGGGAATGTGACCCAGGACTAGAGGAAGCTGTGAAAAGCATCATCTACGCTGCCCCCAGGAGTGAGATTAAAGAGCTTCAGCAAGTCCGCCAGTTGCTTGTTGAGAAGTACGGTAAAGAATTTGCCCTTGCCGCAATTGAGAACAGTGACGAGAAAGTTGCAGAGAGGGTACCTTTCCATACTACCCCCATTCGAGATTGGGATTACCAACATTTTTCATAGGTCCTGAAGAAACTTCGTGTCGAACCCCCGTCAGAGACTCTCGTAACACTCTATCTCAAGGAGATTGCGCGGACCTATGGTATCCCCTGGGGACAAACGCCTCCGAGTACGCCTCCACCAGAGGGGGGCGACGACGACGACGATCCTTCTACTGCCATCGTTGTCCCCGCTACTGAAAACCCTCCTCTCCTTGCGGACCCTAAAGCGGCAGAACTCTCAAAAGCTACACCGCCTCGTGAAATGCGATCTCCGATAAATATCGCGCCGCCGTCCCCATCAACCGAGAATGTTCACCCTGTTGTTAGACTACCTGACCCACCGGCTATGCGTCCACTCGCCAAGAAGGTGGCTACGGAGAATAGGAAGCCGGCCGCGGCAGCTGGTGGGACTAGGAGTGCCTTGGATGACGACGACCTAGCGAAGAGGTTTGCTGCATTGAAGAGGTTATAGTGCCCTGGGCAGGTTTGGATTGGGGGTTTTCGATTTTCTCTTTCTGGGCGGTGCTTCTTGTATTGTTTGTATGGTCAATTCTTGCTTGATCAAGTGATTCATCCCATTTATGATATTTTTCTTCCCTCTGGCACAAGAACTCCGGGCTACACGGTGTATCCTGGCTTTAAGAAGTTCACTAAGGTAAATATCACTTGAGGCATCACGTTCCAAGAAATAAAGCCGAGAAGCTGTCATTCAATATTACAAGAAGGGTAAGTAGTGACTCGTACTATATTATCATGTAAGTGTGAATTTTTCTTGAACATATAGAGACCGAATATCCAACTACGTACTTTTACAATTAGAGTATCCATTCAACATTGTGGGTTGCCAGAATTAATGCACACATGGCGCAACAATAGATACACGCAAATATTAAAGATCTGCTAAACCATCGGGCCCTACCGTCTGTTCTGTGAAGATTCCCCCTCTGCCAAGGTCGCAGGCCCACAGCGTTCTTCCTCTAATTTCAAATTATGGTAGCAATGTTAATTGGCTGGTGGTTTTCAGTCTTCATTTTACTGCTCAGGTGCACAGTCAGCCCCGGCAACCCACAATACATAATACTGCTCATTCTACACACAATCTAGCGTACCCGAATAAATGTACAAAAAACAAGCAAGCAAGCAAGTAGACTAGCACTGCCTGATGATACTGAGGGAAATGAAACTCTAAAAGGCTCCCAAATCATCCCCCACCCAGCGCTTAAACGGAGGGAATAAGAAAAAAGAAAAGAAAAAAGGGGGCCAAGGATCCGGTCATACCGGTACAACGACTAACTTAACCAAGACATTTCTGGTATTCATCGTCATAACCCCCCATCAATATATATGATACTTCCCTTCCTCCCCCCCTTTACTTCCGCCTCATACCACCCACACTCTTCCTAGCAGTAGACCACTTCCCCATCTTCTCCTTCAAATACCTCCAACTCCTCAGTGGCCCGGCAGTCATTATACCCTTAAGGCTCTGAACAGTGCTCGGCCATCTAATGGTTGCCTTAATAACGCCGTTGACAACCTTCCCAACGTTATCCAAATCCCCCGCAATCCTGCGCTCAAACTCGCCGCCTTCCCGCCTCAGCATGCGTTCCTCATCAGCACTTCGGCCAACCATTTTTTCGAAGTCGAGTGCTGGGATGGCGAACTTGCGCTGGTACTGGAAGTACACTTTCTCCCTGAAGGATTTCGGGAGACGGCGGATTATATTTGCGCGACGTTGGGGGTTCATGTCTTGTTCCAGCATGATGTGTTCCGCTGGGTCATTCCATGTTACGCCCTGGCTCAAGAATTGTACGTTGGGCAATTGTTCTACGAGCGGAGAATAGAGACGGCGGAAGTGCGGGAGTTGGTTGCGGACAATGTTGTTCACCTTGTGCGGGTTTTCTGAGTATAGCTTCATCCTCGGGTCGCCGGTATAGGAGATCCCGGCTATCGTAGTGTACAGATCGTGTTCTGTGAATTTCTCTGGGAGGAGCAGAAGTGCTGTGCGGATTGCCGATAGCAGGTTGTGCTGGTTTGCCAGGCGCACTTGCGGATCATCGCGGAGGATTTTTACCGGTTTTTGGAGGCGCCCCGCCAGGTAGAGGGTGTTCCAGGTTTGCAGGTCGTGGATTAGGGTTGCGAGGTTTACCACACCGTATTTTACTAGCTGAGCTCCTAGGCGTCAGTACCGATCTCTTTTTTTTTCCCCACTCTCCCGGGAATATAGGGTGGGGGGAGGTGGGTATTACCGTGCCGCCGACATCGACGTAAGGGTTGAAATACACCCCAGACCCAAAGTCGTCTTGAATATGACTGATGACCGCGCTTCCCATTCCGCCCAGGAATGAATAGTGATCTCTGTGCTGCGCGAGGTTTAAAGAGTGCCAGTGTTGTGTGTAAGTCACGCCAAATATTAGGTCTATCATTGGCTTCCTTCCTCCGGCTACGCTACCACTACCGCCACCAAACTTACTACCCTGGGAGAACACGCCGGAGCCGTAGGCGAATGCGTAGCGCACCGGTGCACGGAATTGCCAGAGGAGGGAGCGGAGGCGATCTTTAAGGGCATCGTCGACGTGCATGTGCTGGTTTGTGCCAAAGTTGCGGGGGAGGTGGGCGTAGGAGGATAGGTCCAAGTCTGGCTCATCGAAGTCTGGGGATGGAGGGGGAAGTTTGGCATTTGGGTCATTGCTGTCGTTGGGTGGTGTCGTTGAGGGGGAGAGGTTTCGGTATTGTCGGAGGTGACTGGAGGGGTAGAAAGGGTGTAATCGGGGTGCTCTCTATTGCAGTAGGGGGGGGGGAGGTTGTTGGTTAGTTATTGTGTTCTGCTGTACCTGTACGTAATAGGGTAGCATTGGTAGTGGTGGATGGAGTGCAAAACCTACTGCCAAATGCCGTGATATCATCCTGTCTCAACTTATCAGATGCCTGTGAGCGAATAGGACAATATGTGATAGCTCAAAGGATACTCTTAGGGATGCTTGGACATCAAATAGAAAAGGAGAATACCATCACCACCGCTTAAGTAGAGAGCTCTCGAATCAGGCAAGGCCGGACGCCGAGCAAAGCAATGACGAACCTAGGTAAGGGCTTCACGATAAGGAGTGAGAGAAAATAAAAATAAAACCGAAAACTAATTTAACTGCCAAGACTAAAGAGGAACAGGAACAATAATAACTCTACAAGATGACTTTTTTATTCTGTCAACCCTGATGGGGCGGCTACATTAGGGGATCGGCAAATATAGTGACAGAGAGGAAAATTATTCCCATGTTCCTGGCAATTGGGGGAGTTTGTTTTTGTTAGACTATTGGGGATAATTATGATGGGACTTCCTATTTAATGCTTAGTCATCAATCCACCAGTTACCTCCTGCCGGCAGTGGTTCATAAGCCACAACAAAAACAAACACGCCTTGAAAGAGTCCTATTTCACCACCTCTGCGGCGTGGCCAACGACGACAACAACAACAAGGGACTTTCCCTCTTTCAGCTGTTTACCCCCTATTTCACAACCCCACGATCAAACCATCTCCATTACCACCACCAACCAATACAACAAATAAGTCCAGAATTGGCTGGAAAATATACTTCAATACAAACCGCTTCCTGCTTAACCCACTAACCAAACTTCTCTTCCTTCTACCACCTCCTTTTTGTTTTCTTATTCCTATAAAATATTCTTACAATCATGTCGAAAAAAGACATGAGCATTCACGAGAAGCGGCTGTCATCCTTCACACGCAAGCGGCGCGCATCATCCGCTGTTGGGAATAAAAATGCTGGCAACGGGAAGTGGCCGCATGAGCAACCTTCTCCTCAAAAGGTACATTCACGCACCTCCCCTCAATTCTTCGGAATTCCGGAATCGGTGCTGACATTTGTTTCGAATAGCTGGCTGACGCCGGCTTCTACTTCAATCCTTCTGATGCACATCTCGATAACGTCACCTGCTACCTCTGCGATAAGGACCTTGACGGCTGGGAAGAGGATGACGATCCGATATCAGAGCACTTTAAGCATTGCTCTGAATGCGGCTGGGCTCAGGTTGCGTATGCTTTGGCATCTAGGGATGATCACAAGTCGCTATCGGATCCTCGCGGAACAATCATGACCGAAGCGCGGATTATGACCTTTGGGAAGAAGTGGTGGCCCCATGAGGAGAAGCGGGGGTGGTTGCCGAAGATTGGGACTGTGGGTTTTAGCTTTGTCTACTTTTATGGGTGATTGGTTCTGACCTGTTGGTTTTAGATGGCGGAAGCGGGGTGGCATTACGCTCCGGCTAAGGATTCGAATGATAATGCCAGTTGTGCCTATTGTGAACTGACCCTGGATGGATGGGAGATGAATGATGATCCCTTGTATGTTGCTTTTATCACTTGTTTGTCATGGTGCTAACGAAAATGTTTTAGAGAGGAACACCGTCGACGTTCCCAGGATTGCCTGTTCTTTACATGGAAACCTGCGCCAAAACGTGCCACTAAACGCGCGTCGAGGGCATCGATTCAGTCACTTGCCAGTTCAATCGGCGATGGGGAAGACGAGCCCGTTAGGAAAACAGCACGCAGCAGGAAACCAAAGAAGGCGCCCTCTGTCGTCCGGGAACTCTCTGTTGACCCAGAACCAATTGTTATCGACGAGTCGGTAAAGGCCCCTAGAGGGAGGAAGAGAGCAAGTAGTATCGTTCAGAATCCAGAGCCCGTCATCTTATGGGATGGTTCAAAAGATACAGATGAAGATGACGTTCAACCTCCACCGGCTAAGCGTCGGACAACTAGGGCCAGTCTTGCCAAGCAGTCGAGCGCCAAACCTAATGCAGATGCCAAGATGGCTGACAGCGATAACGAGTCTGTGGCAGTAGGCCCAGCTAGAGGGCGCCCTAAGAAGGGTGCAAGGAGCGCTTCGAAGACTAGAAGGTCGGTGGTTAAGAAGAATTCGAAAATCTTTGTCCCTGACGATGATGAAATCGACCGTGCCTTGGCTCTCGACTTTGAGAGGCCGCTCACGGACGAAGAGGATGTTGCAACCTTTAAGAAGCCATTCGTTCGCACTACCAAACGCTTGACGAGGAGTAGAACTAGCATTGCTGTTGAGGAAAGCATGCGGAATGCACCCGAAGGTGTCCTAATACCAACAGCAAGAAGGGGCGATAGGGTATCGCGTACTCCACTTGGTACGGCTACTCCTGGTTCTGTTCGCCGGTCGCCTACCAAGCCCCTGTTCAAGGATAACAATCAGGATTTCTCGATGCCGATTGTGATCCCGAAGCATTTGTCCCAAGCCGATGCCGAGGAAGAATCTCGTGGCCCACGAGAAATGGGACGATACAAGGGCAAGGTTGAAAGCGCTCATGTAGAGGTTGCCCCTACTGAGGATCCAGAGCCTAAAAGGCCCGCAGCTAAGAAGATGGCAAGAGGGAAGAAAGTTGCTCCTCCTCAAGAAGTTGAGGTTCCGAAGCCGAGGAGAGGTAGAGTAGCAGTCGCAAAGGCGCAGAAGCCACCTAGCAGGAGCATTTCGATTGATAGCCAACCGCCACTTGCCACCCAGATTGAATCAGAGAAGCCCGAGGTAGAGGAACTTCCTCCGCCGCCCGCTAGAATCGAGGAGCTTTCGGAGGCGCCACTTAGAACTAAACGTGTTCGGAAAATCAAAGGCCGAGCTAGCGTACTGTCGACAACATCTATGAACTCAATTGCCTCCGATAATACTGGTACGCAGATGACTTCCTCCATGAGGTCAATTATCTCAGATGCTACTGCTGCACACAACATGACTTCTTCCATGAGATCGACTGCCTCCGGCGTTACCAGTACGCACATGACTTCGTCTATGAGGTCAATGGCTTCAGAGAGCGAACAGATGGCAACATCTTTAGACGAATCTATAATCATTCATGATTCAGCAATTGCCCCCGAAGCAGATGCCGAGACAGCACTTTCGGATCTAGGGAGTGTTATCAAGTATAAGATCAACCCGAGAGATCGACAGCCCGAAGAGGAGATTGCGCTACCTCCCAAAACAAAGCGCGGTAAGAAGGCCACTGTGCCCCCGAAGAAACGTCCCACCGGAAGCAGTCTCCTTTCTGTAGCTACGGACAAAACTGCCGCCAGTGTTGGTAATTCTGGAGACGAAAGCGATGCTTCTCGAGCGTCTGCCAGCGGTACAGGGAAGAAGTCCAAGAAGGGTAGTAAGAGACTTGGGAAGAAGACTGCTCAAAGTAGAAACATTGAAGATATCCTTAAGAAGGGTAGCGAGAGCTTCTTTGCATCGTCGCAATCCGAGGAACTAACCTCTTCCATCCATGAGGGCTCCAAAAAGGCACGTCCTATTAAGAGACTTATGAAAGCAATCGAGATCGAGCCTCGCAACTCGGCAAAGCCCGAAGACCCCAGCCAAACAGAGGAAGACGAACCGAAATCCGTACCCAAAGGAAGCAGACCTGTAACCACCGGTAGATCCGTAAGTTTCTCCGACCGCGCTCCTAACCCAGACCTCTACCCCGGCTCGGATACGGAGCTCGACGAAGTCGTCCCCCCTCCAGTACCACCCTCCACAGCCCCCGCCTCCCCGCCCCGCCCCGCCCGCCGCCCGCCTGCAATCCCTCGCTCTCCGGCTCGTGTGCCCCAATCACCCGCCCGTATCCCACTCTCCCCTGTAAGAACACAAATCACCGTCCCACTAGCTTCGACTCCAAAGACTAAACCATCGGGCAAGCTCGCCACGGTGCGCCCCTGGACCGTGGTAGACCTAGACACCGTCTTTCACACGTCAGAAACGGAAATAGATGATAATGCAGGTCTCGCCGAGAAGGAGAAGGAGATGACGGTGGCGGATTGGGTGAAGTGGAATGCGGCCCAGGGCGAAGAGAGGTTGTGCCGTGAGGCGGAGAGGTTGATTGAGATTTTCGAGAGGGAGGGGAGGAGGGCTATTGATGCTGTGGAGGGGATTGAAACTGTCTGATAGCGCAAAGGGGGATTATCGTTCTTACTTTTATTTGTATTAAACATTGAGGATATCGCCATGGGGCATTGGAGTATATTATCTTTACGAAGAGCGATGCTTTTTTTTTGTTTTGCATGCTGTACTATATTAGTAATCCATGGTTTGGTTTGGTTTACTTTATCGCTGTCTACCTATGATCTGACTTAACGGCTGTTTCCTTAAGAATTTATCTTAATGGTACACCGTGAGCCATCCATTCGCAGGCAATTTCATTCATTAAGACTGCCTGCATCTAGACGAACTGCGAATGATATATTATGCTCGGCCGCGACTCGACAAGTCATGTACGCGAACCTACCAAAGCACACATAGCAAAGGGGCCAGCATAGAGCAAGTCAAGTCATAACCCCCACAACTCTCCAATAACTGCACCACCAACCGCTGGAGCCGTGCACAGCACTACACCCGTCTAACGAATCCCCTCCATTAACCCCAACCCCCCTCCCCCACCCAGCATCCAATCGTATCATACAAGCCACCATCGTGCCAAAGGACCAACCACAGATCAACAGGCAGCAGCACAGATTATCACCATCTCCCTCCAACACAGCTTCCGCCGCCCGTCCATCAAGTAACGAAGGCAACCCAAACATATTCCCCCAAGCAGGAACCCAAAAAAAGTGGCGAATACGCCGTCCTCCCCTCCCCTTCGGTGTATTTTTTTTTTTTTTCCACTTTATTGCGCAGGCCGGCCGTCACGACGCGTCGGTCTAACTTTCCCCGTCACGGAGTATGATATCGCACAGATAGAATATACGAGTGATACTACGTGATGTCCAGTCCGCCCGTCCGTCGCCTCTTATGTATGATACCTGTCTACTCTACCTTGATGAACCCTGATATGATGCCTCGACCTTAACGCGCCACTCTCTCCATCCTCGGTTTATTCTTCGATTTTTAGCGAGCGTAAGCTTTGACTATTTTTTTCTTCTTTTTTTCTTTTTCCTTCATTCCGTATTGCGCGGGTCGAACATGGGCTAGGACTGCTTATAGTGATTTGTGTTTACGGTGGATACTGCTCCTAGTGGAGTAATTATGATTTTCCTTTTTATGAATGGCTCGGGAGGGGTGATGGATGGTGGATGGTGGTGGGTGAGCACTCGTCTTGGGGCTGTGATGTGTTTTGTTCATGCGTGGTTCGGGATCGGGATTATCAGTGTGTTTTTCGCGGACCTGAAGAGTGCTTAAACCCCGCTCCCAAGCGAGGGGGGGTACGGTACGGCAGTGTTGTAATAGAAATTGAGCACATCAGAATGGTGTTATTAAAGAGAATGCATTGTATGAGAGTAAACCCACACTAAACCGCGAATAGGCCTCAACAGCATATAGCAAAATGCCATTGCATCAAGGTAATTTCTAAATAGCCAATTTCAGCAACAAACAAACGAAAACTATTCTACCATAAAACAAAAAAGCTAAACTGGGTTCCCAAACTCTTCACCCATCTTCATATCCAAAGCCCAAACTCATACCCACACACAAAAAAAAACTCTGCCATCACCACCGAATCCCTGCCCACCCATCCTTCGGCAATTACAAGCCCTCACTCAATTGTGCGAATCCAATCCCGAGTGATATCACATGACTCGATATCCCACGCATATTTACCAACTGCCCTACCCGCTCAAAGACAGACAAATCGGAATCCCCCCAATAAAAGCAATTAATTACACCCAAACATCTGGTATCCCAAAAGCTCCATGCAAGCCAAGCCACTACTAATACAAATGACAACAAAAACCCGATTTTCCACTATTCGACCCTGGTGATAACCCCTCTTAGCCAAGAGAGACAGCCACGTCCGTTGAACTTAGGTAGGTTTAGCATGGTATAGAGGGAAAGAAAGAAGAGAAAGTAGGAAAATGTGAATATAAGGTATATAACTCTGGAAAAAAAGAAACCGGATATTTGAAAGGACAAGAGGTAGCTCATGAATTGACATGTAGTGCGAAAAAAAGAGGGAAAAGCGCCGAAGACCATAACCGAATCCAATGCAGGGGCATCGAAAATCGAAAGAGGCATAAACAAGAAAAGAGATTTATCCTGAATAAAGCGATCCCAGAACCCCCTCCAGCCTGTTGACGCCCTGATCGAACGAAAGCGGCACAGTAACAATCCCATAATGCACCAAAACCAAAGCAACTGCGGTACAAGATAGCAAGACAGAGTTGACGAATAGAATGGGGTGCCTGCCGATGGGGGTCCCGGATAGTCATCCCTGCCTCAACCCAAGGACTGAGTTACGATAATTGACCCAGCTCTCGAGGGCCTGCATATGCTTCTCGCGCGCCTGGCGGTATGAATCCTCCAGGGCCATGTCCTTCTCGCGCACGCGGGTGATGTAGTTCATGATCGTGTTGTCGTCAAGGGTTATCACATCATGGAGCCCTGAGCTTGAGAGGCGGGCGTGGAGGTCGTTGTACTTCCCCTCATACTCGTTCCACTTCTTGATGTATGGCTCGACGAGGTAGAAGAGTGTGTTGTAGGATTCGAGGGCTACAGCTCGCGGTGTCTTGGGGATCTTCGGCGGGACGGGAAGGGCAAACGGTTCCTCGGCCGGGGTTTGTGGCTCATAGAGATAGCGGATATCCGGTTTGAAACCTTTCGAGAATCTATTCTTCATCAGGGTGGGAGTAGGACCTTGTCGCGGCTGGATGGATGCCTGGGGTGGAAAAGGTAAGTTGACTTTGATATCGTCAAGGCTCTCGAGACCTGCATTGGCGTGCCTGAAAGGCATACTCATGAATTTGCCCAAGTTATCGAGCCCTCCCAATTGCCCAGGGAGAGGTGAGCGCGGGGATGCCGAGTCGCCATCCACAGGCCGGCCGATACCGAGCCTCGGTAACTTGGGTCTAGCACTAACCGTCGGCGAAGGAACTCCAGTATCTGGTGCAGTATCCATAGCATCGACGTCATCCTCAACCGTAGTTTGGTGACTGGTTTGTGATTTGGAGTTCTCCATAGGCTCTGGTTTCACAGGGTCGGTAGTACCTGTTGGGCGTTGTTCACACTCGGCGCTCGTATGGTTATGGGTCGGAATATTGATAGGGTCCGGGGCAACGGATCCCCTCCCTTTGCCCTTTCCTTTGCTAATGCTTGAACCGCTTACCTTCTTCTTGGGACTGCCTAGCGCTGCCGCCGGGACCTCCTGTCGAAAAGCGAATGCTTCAGTGGTCTTTATTAAGGTATCCCAGAGAGCTTCTTTGAATTGTTGAACATCGGGCGGCTGTCGCGCCTGGTGTTGCTGCTGGGTGTGAGGCTGGGGGGTCTGTCGGGGGACGGGTACGTGTTGGGGCTGAGTGGGATACACAGGTTGACTTTGAGGGCGAGCAAAAGACTGCTTTGGAGGGAAAAGCTCTTCGGGAGTAGTGTAATTGAAGGGATCGATCTGGGGCTCATGACCGAAAAATTGGAAATCAGGAGGTTTGCTAAGCGGGCTCTCCTGCCCTATTGGTGTAACGGGGGTGCGGTGTGGGTCTTTTCTGGTTGGGCCATCCGGAATTGGATCGAATTTGAAGCTAGATTCCGAAAAGTTAGTATAATCCGTCGTCGAATCGGATGTAGCATGGGGTACGGACCGAAACTGAGAGTCAGTACGTCTCGGCTTCGGAGACGCAATACGAGGGCTTTGTCTCTCTGGCTCAGCTCGCGGCAAAGGCGGGGAAGAAGCCCCTACTGTTTCTGGCTGAGTGAACGATCCCCGCCTTCCGGGAGGTCTTGGATCGCTCTTGGTCCTACTATGGGTCCTTAAGTCATTTTCGCGAGAAGGGTTTTCCCATTGCCCAGAGTTAGTCTCTCGCTGTTTCTCTGTAGCCACCCTTTCCTTTTCCCTTCTCCGCATCTTGTCCATAAAATGCTCGTTGTCGTCTTCATCCTGGGGAAATGGATAAGCAAAGCCGCCCGGATTGTCGCTGTTATTTCCCTGTTTATTCCAGCCATCAGCATACCCATTGATATTAGGCTCATGCGAGCGCTGATGCCTTGGCTTTGTGGGAGATTGTTTTGACTTCTGCCTGGAAGTAGAGGAGGCTGCACTCTTAGTCTTCGTACGAAGTTCTTCGTCCACCTTCTTCTCCAAATCCTCTTCGGCAGAAGGGAATAGGAAGGCGGGAGGTGTGTCTTCATGGTCATATACGTTTCTAGAATGGTGCTTATTGGTCTCGCCCCACTGTCTCCTGATTCTGGCTGCTTCTGCTTCTGCTTCCGCCTTCCTAGCCTCCATTTCAGCCTTTATCCTCTCACGCTCCTTATTTGCCCTCTCCTCGTCCTTCCTCAGTCTTTCCGCTCTCTTTGCATGTTCCTCCATCTCTGCCCGTCTGGCTCGGATGGCTTCTTCCTCCTCTTTCTGCCTTTTCTGCTCGGCCTCTGCCTCAGCAGCAGCCTCTCTAGCTCTGCGCTCCTTGATATAGGCACCCAAATTGAACTCGGGTGTTGGTGCAGCCGAATCTGTTCGCGGTAGATCAGGAGTAGAACTGGGTCTCGTACGGGGTGAGGATGATGAGGCAGTTTTAGCACTACTGTTAGGAGTAGTTGTAGATTGGCGGGTGCCCGTCCGACTTGAAGAGCTTCTATCATAATCTCTGGACTCCGGACGATACCTATGTTCGTAAAATTCATAACCATCGTCATGGCCTGCGGTTGACCTATAGGAGGAGCTGGTATACTCATAGCCAGAACGAGCCTTCCGATAGGATCCTTCAGGATGCCCACCGTAAGTAGCCTTGTAAGCGCTCGCTCGAGCTCCTTGTTGGTGGGCAAATCCCCTGGAACTGGAGGTGCTCGGAGGAGGAGGTCCCCATTGAGGCTGTGCAGTGGTGGCGTATCTCTTCGCAGTTGACGATTTAGTCTTGTTGTGTTGTGGGAATTTACCATCGGGATATCCGTGAGAAGGATTATCCTCGTCGTACCTTGCTCGTTCGAGGTTATCTTTTAAGGTATCATGCGCCCTCTGGAGATCCTGGAATTTTTCCTTAGCTAAAGGGTCACCGGGGTTCTTATCCGGATGCGTATCCTTGGCTGAGGGGCAAATTAGCACATCTAAAATGCAACATGAAGGGGCTATCGATCGGTAGCGGAGGAAAATATATTCCAGGAGAGTGGAAGAAGAACACACCAGCTTTCCTGAAAGCTTTCTTTATCTCATCCTCTGTCGCGTACCTGGTGATTCCAAGAACGTTATAAAAGTCAATCTCACTCGGTGCCATGAGTCCTTAGCCACGCACCCCCGGAACAAACGAACGCTCAGCTGTGTCCCTGTGAGAAAGGCGAGCGAGGTCGAAAGGTTGAGGAATGAGATGCAAGCGAGGGGGGGCGTGGGTTGATGAAGGTGATTTATGAATACACTAGAAAAGGAGGGGAGGGGGACAGCACCCGCAATCGGGGGGGGAGAAAAA